GTGTATTTTCTAGTTCAAATTCTGATCTCATGGGAGATCAGATCAGTTAAAAAAAAAACAAAACAAAAACTGGGACACAACTCCGAGCACTTCCTGTTTCCTTCTGGGTTGAAATGGGCACAGTGAAAGTGGGCTCCCCATGGACACCCCAACTGTCTCCTTGTGTGGACCAAGTGCCCTGTCTGGGAACAGCCCTCTTTCCCCGAGAGGGAGTCAGAGCCTCCCACCTCTAGCCGCCCATCCATCCAAATTCCAGGAACGTCTACTTGGGGCCAGGCCTTCTGGGAAATAGCCCTTCCTACTGGAGACTGAGTTCTACCCTGCCTACTTCACACTTCAAGCAGTGAAACAATAGTGTTGTCTTGTCTGCCAACGGCACAGAGGCATTCCTCCACGCTTCTTAGGAGGTATTTGTGCCAGTGAGGCCCCAGGGCCGGAACTGCAGCACAGTGGAGGCCCCACGCCCCCACTGACAGTAGGCGGTGGCAGCCAGGCCGGGCAAAGGTCCACATGAGCCAGCCACAGCAGACACCAGCAGGCTCCTCCCCACTCACTGAGCCCACTTCCCACCATCCCACCACTGCCACGCAGCCAAACTGGTCAGGCCCCACAGTGAGAGCGAAGGAAAACACCCTCCTTTCTGCCCCACCTGACACACAACTTTGATGTTGCCAGTGCATGTGAACATAACCATACCACACACCGCACCACAACAGCAGACACCCCACACCCCACACACATATGCCAAACACACATGCACACACCACACATCAGCATCTTCAAGGCACCATGCCATCGGACACAGACGCCCGACACTTCTCAATCATTATTTTGTTCTGTGTCCTGCTGTCCCGGACTATCTTTCTAGACTTCCAGAGGTTAAACCTGCTACTTAGTCCTCTGGTGAGAACAGAAGTAAGAAGTGAAGCGCACACCTCCCTCACAGCCAAAACACACTGTCATTTTCTCGGCCATCAGAGATGTCCTAACTGAACAACAAGGCACACACGCTCTTGCTCAGCCCAGGCCACACTGAGGAAGACCACCCAACCAGGACCTCAGGATCTCCCTGGTTGACATGGTAGCGACAGAGCCCAAGGTGCCTCAAAAACCCAGTCCTCTGGACCCAGCTGCTGCCAGTTGCGGGGGTGGCGGATGGAACAGACACTGTGGAAGTCCTGAGAATAAGGCGAGGGGGCACCTCAGAAGGGATGGGCTGGCGGGGAGCAGCACCCTTCCCCACCCGCACTTGAGATCATTTCATGTGGTCCTCAGTTTTGACTAGAACACTTCCTGTCACAGCCCCTCAGTGATTTAAGCAGTCAGCTCATGGCCGTCCTTGACCTCCGGCCTCAACAGCTCATGGTGGCCAAGGAGTCGGTCCCAACTTTCCAGCTCACGCTCGACCCCATCAGCTGTTTTTGCTGCAGGAACTGAGGTTCACACCCTCTCTCCAGAGTGTGGGTGCCTCTAGGTCAGACCTGGGGATGGCGGCATAGACACAAATGCAAGTCTGATCATCCAGCAGGCTGCCCTCTTGGTGTCCACCAAAGGGCCACGGCAGGAGAGCCAGAGAGGGAGGGACATGTGAACACCGTGCGCCGAGTGGGGAGTCACGTGCCAGGGAGGGTTTTCTCTGGAGGACAGCCAACCAGCGTGGTTCACATCTCCCTTCCTCTTTCCCTGCTTCTTCCCTCAGTGTCTCAATTCTTAGGCTCAGGAAATTTTCAGTTCCCATCTGTGGGGTCCAAGAACTCCTACCTGAAGGCCCCCAAATTCAGGCCAATCACCCATCCCCTCCTTGGTGGGGGTCAGGAGAGTGGATGGGGTACGTCCCTTTTCTGTCCGCAGAGGCGGCATCCCGTGGGCTCCACTGCCTCTGGCAGCACGTGACTTCCTGGTACGGCCACCTGAGCCAGGGCAGCCTCTGCCTCGAAAGGCTGTGCCTCGTCCAAAATGTGCTGTGTGCAGCCCTGCTGCCCAGCGCCTGTGGTGGCCAGGCATCAGTCCCCCAATGAGCAGCCAAGCCTGGACATACAGAGGCACAAGACAGAGAAACCAGCAGGTTACAAGGCTATCTGGGTGGGGCCAGGAGCCATCTGGAAGAAGAAGGGCTCTCCATGAGTTGTGTGTTGCATGACGTGGCCACGGCAGCCTCTCTGAGAGCGCAGGGACCTCTCTGCTAGTTGGGCAGCTGGGCCCACAGAGCTGGTGCTAAGGCTGACCTCTGGCTGTGGTCTGTGCACTCTGCCCAGTCACCTGGCCTCCCCCCATCCCAGATCCCCTGGGTTTCCATTTCCTCACACTGCATCGATGCTATCCTAAAGGACAGCAAAGGAGCAAAGCATCATTGGGATGACATGGACACTTATCCTGGAAACCTGGGCTGACCACAGGTGAGCAGGAAACAGGGCCAGAGAGGCTCTCCTGGGACGCTAGCCTCAGAGGCCCCAGGGACTGAGGGGTCAGGGGGCCTTGTCACCAGGCCACTGTGGGCAGGGCTGGGCAGGCCCGAGCTGACACCAACAAAGCTCTGTTGCATTGACCTCCACCTGAAACCACGTCCCAGCAAGGTGAGAGCCCAAAGACACCCACAGCTGACCAGGCCGCCACCATAGCTGCTGGGCACTGTTGTCCATGGTGCTGCCCAGGGCAGGTCCTTGTTGCCAGGGTCCCAGCAGGTGCCAGGCCAACGCACTACCAGAGACCCAGAGCAGACAATGGGGCTGCCTGATGGCCTCAAGCCCCTGAGAATCCAGTCAACAGCACACACAGGCCACAGGCATGGGAGACATGAAAGCCATGATCACTGGTAACGGAAACCCAAGGCAAGGCCCCCTCAGAGAGGGTGGTCAGTCTAAGGCACCCACGCTTTCAAAAGTATGTGACTTGGAGAAAGACCACAGTTATTAGATGGCCATGTCACAGCTCCTGTGCACAGTGGATTCACTGTCCAAGTGTTGGTCAGCATGGCCTTCATAGTTCTTCAAAGTGCTTCCTGATAACTTAAGATTAATGCCGTTTCTGCCTTGGGTGCCAAACATGCTTCTCCACATACACATGGACAGCTCATGGGTGGTGCAGGGTGGCCACACAGCCCCCAAGGCAGTGCCTGGGTGACGCTGAAGGAGGCCAGCAGGAGTGAGGGGTAGGAAACGCACCGCCCCCAAGTATCCCAAGTGTGCAGGTGGTGGGGGCCTTCAAAATGACCCAGAGCCAGACAGTGGCCTCAGCCACTCAGGCCTTAGAGAATGACCCTAATGCATGGAAATCTTCCACGAAAATAACAGTAGAAGCTACAAAATCAGGGCCTGTTCACTGTGTAAACACTAGGAAATACAGGTAACAGAAAACCTACAAAGCCTGACCCTCAGTCTGGGTGCACCAGGGCCTTCCGTGCAGACTCATGCAGGGACTGAAACATGATGAACCTTCTGTGGGGCTCACGTTGCAGCCTGCTCCTGGCCTGACTGCAGCACATTGATGTCCCTTCCCACAACACAGGTCCACCACACTATCTCATGGACTGCACAAGCACCCTATGCATGACTGATGAACACACCTGAAATTCGGGCCATCCATGACCTTCCATGATCATAGTGCTCTGCGAACTTGTGCGCAGTTCTGCTGTGCACGTGTTTAAGGTCCCCAAAACACCCCGTCAAGCAAGGGTCTCCACCGCAGGTGAGGGAGGTTGGTGTGGATGGGGAGGGGCAGGGAGCAGCCAAGCAGCCACACAAGGGAGTGGAGGTGCTCACCCAAGCAAGCTCACCTGAGCACCTGCACATGTGCACATACCTGGGTACAGGGCTTCCCTTTGGGGTAATGCAAATACTCTGGATTCAATGGCACAACACTGTGAAGGCACAATGGCAACTGAATTGCATACTGACAATGGCTAATGGTTAATTTTGTCTTGTGAATTTTACCAAAAGATTTAACAAAACATTGAGACCTTCCGTCAGAGGTTCATCCAGTCCTGACTGTGCCTTCACCTTCATTCCCTGCGGGCCTGCAGCCTTCTGAGCAGAAAGGCCTTGGAAATCCCTCCACACTGTGTGTCCCGGGCTGTGCCAGGCTGCAGCACAGGCTCGGGCTCAGGAGGCAGCAGCTCCTCCCGCTGTTTGCACTGTGGCCTTGCTCTAGACTGGGAGACCACCACTCCTTTCTGGAAGGCCTGGGGCTCTGGAGAGTGCCATTGTGAGCTATACTGGAAGTTGCCCTGGCAGACAAGAACTGAGGCTAGAGAGCGGTAAAGGCTTGAGGAAGGCAGCACCCTCATGCACAAGATTTGCTGGACCTAGTCCAAAATCTGAGCTCCATTCCATCATCAAAGAAACCGACCTGAGTTCTGCTGGAAAACCCACCCCCCATCCAAAGGCTGGAAATCCAGGTTCTGCCTCTCCCAGCCTCCTGAAGTTGGGTGGCCAATGCAGGGATGAGGGGCTAGGGGTGAGGCGGGGGGCAGCAGGGGAGCAGCGGCACTGAGGCCAGCAGAGGGCCAGCTGCAGGGCTGGGGCAGTTCTGTGGCCTGACTGTGGGGTAATGCTCCTCAGCTTAAGCCTGTTAAGAACTCCTTTTCTGCTCCCAGAAACCACAGCTGCTTCCTGATGCTTCACCTGTGAAGGTTTTGCTCCGCTTTCACCAAATGTCTGCGGGGCATCCTCATCAACTCCGGCCCTTCTCACCCTGTCCGGCAGGGCTCATGGGCCTGGACACGTCACACTGCCCACTGCTTCGCAGTCACACATATTCTCCCCCAGGACTGGCCCCACCCTGGGAGGTAATGGACTCTGATCTTGTTTTCACAATAATGAAACAGCAGAAAGCTGTGCAGGAACGGGTGGGACTCCAAACATCACTGTGGGGGCCAAGAACCTGGCTAGATGCCGAGGAGATGGCAGGAAGAACGACACTGTCAACCTTGTGTGACAAAGGATTTTTACTGAAAAGTCACCCCAAAGTGGACACCTACCAGTGCAGTAAATAATTCTATACAATTACACTCTTTGTGTATTTTTTTATTAAGATCTGTATTTACATTTTGCCAATATAAACAGGCATCCAGTAAACATATCCAGAATAAAAAACATTTTATATGGACACAATACTTCATGGTAACTGGTAGGGCAGCTGACCTCTAAGTCTTCCAGCAGAATGCACTCCTTTCTTAGGCACGTGAATTACAAAGAGAACAAGGAAGCTGCACTCAACTCCTTGCCCGACCAGGGCCAGGCGGGTGTGTGACCAGCTCCCCACATGCTCCTGTGTGACCCCCACCATGACTTGCCTCGGAAACATGGGGATGTGGGGGACGGGCGGGAATGAACATACGGGATCCCCAACAGAGTGTGGACAGACTCTACCACATCTGCTTCCCAAGGGCCACTTGTGGAGGTCATGGGGCAAAACAGATGCACCCAATACCAGCCAGAGAGAAGGCTTTGCTAATACCACGAAGCCCAGAGACAGACCACACCAGCTTTATAAGATCTAATCACACACCCTTTATAAAGGATTTCCACTATTTTGGGTTCATAGGGCTATCTACAGAAACAATGGACCCACATGCGGCCGACATGATATCAGAGACAATTCACCACCTCCCCAGGCTGCTTCCTGCATGCCAAAGGGGACATGAAAGTCTTTGTCTCATGACAAAAACTCTGTACATGCAAATAAAAATTAAGAAAAAAAGTATCTAAGACTATCTACAAGGCTAGCTCTTCGTAGGGGCTGCAGGTTCTGGAGACTGAAGAAATTCATATGGGTCATGGGTCACCTCTGGCTGCTCCCCGACACTGAGGCGAGAAGGGCTTCCTGCAATCATGGGAAAGAGGAGACATTTCAATAGATCTGTACACATGGTCCAGGCTCAGCAGACTCCTGGCCAAAACCATGTCTGTGTGACTGCTGTTAGCCAAGCCCTGGACTCAGCCAGAGCAATGGCTCCCAGGGTTCAGGCCACCTCCCTCCTCCCCTTCTGGGGTGTGGGCCACTACCCCTCAACACTCCCAGGGTCCAGGCCACCCCATCATATCTCCTAGGGTCCAGGCCACCCTCTCATCCCTCCCAGGGTACAAACCACACCCTACCACTCCTGGGGATAGGTGGAGACCACTTTCCACAGGCATAGCTGTGGACACCCTGTAGCAGAAGGTTGGCCCTGACCCTCTCTCCACACAGCACAACCACTGTTTCTGTAGGAATAAAGGCTCCTTGGCCAGGGGCCCCTCAGACAAACCCTAGTCCCCCAGGAAGGCTCCAGTGCCACTTAGAGAGCCTATCAGGATGTTGGAGTTCTCAGATTTGGAGCTGACCCAGGGCTACCTGGAACCCACTTCCCATATTATTTATCACAAGGTTAATAGGACCGAAAATACCGGTCCTGACTCGGACAGCCTTCACCAAACTTCTGTACCTGATCACCACCACTTCTCCCGCCCGCCACCAGCCACCAATTACTCTCTGAAAGAATAATTCGATATGTGTATCTGAAAACTAAAACAGCAGCACTGACACATTCAAGAAGCCATGAGGCAAATGTCTGGTTCCTTTCCTGGCAGGGCCACGATACTCGTTAAACTCAGGAGCCCCCTGGACAAGGAAGGTCACGTGCTCTCCCAAATAAGGATCCTGGAGAAACAAACTTGTCAACACACAGTTTTGGGACTAAAAACAAAAAAAAGAAGAAAGAAACATTCCCAACTTCTACCTTGGTATGCCGTAAGAGTTTACAGCCACAGCCTAATTCTGCCCCTTACCAAGGGCCTCAGTGTGTGGCTGTCCGGGACACAACTGCCAGCACCTAATGTCCAAAGCCACAAACTCACAACACTAACTAAATTCCACTCGAACACTTCACCTCAGTGCAGCCACACAACCAGGGAGGCCTGTTCAAGCTCCAGGGCACTGCAGACCCGTGGGCTGGGACTCACTGCTGCACAACCTCCAATCTCCTAGGGTCTCTAGCCTTTTTTGAAAATCAGTGCTCCTGCTCTCTTCCCAGACGGACGCTGGGAGATTTGGGGTAGAGGACAGGCCAGGAGCTGCCTTACCCAGATGGTGCTGATCCCTGTCGGAGGTGTTAGACAGGGAGCTGAGGTTGGAGGACGGCCGGGAGCCCCCACGCTCTGCCTGTGCCTCATGCAGGTCCTGTAAAAGCTTTGTCGTCTCATCCAAGTTCAGATGGCTGTCATCATGGTCCAGCTCCTTTTTCACTTTCCCTGTGAAAACACAGGACGAGACATCGGTTCAGGTCAACTGGCCCACCCATAAAGCACCGTGTGTGAGCGCTGCTGGTCCACAGCTGCAAATCTCTCACTCGTCCCTATGCATGCTCAGGACAACAGCCCCTCCTAAGGGGAGCCAGATGAGCACAAGCAAGCTTGGAGGCAAGGGTGATACAACTGGAGCGAGCAGAAAGGGGTGGACGATGACAGGAGGGACAATGTGCGTGACAAGAAACCAGGCACCATGTCAATCTGTGCCATTTTATGGACAGAAGTCTTGCATTCCTGTCATAAACAACTGGAAAAACAAGATGTGTGCAAGAGGCCTGCGGACACCAGGACTGGGCACAGGGCAAGCACCCACAGGGCCAGGCAGTGAGTGGGTCAACAGCTGGAGAAGACAGGCTGCCTGGTGAGCTCTCTAGTCTTGGTCAAGCACTGCCCTGCGCCCTGCCAGGGAGGTCAACAGCTCACACATGTGACAATCTGTCCCAAGCACATAGAAGGATGCAGCCTATGGGTGGGACCATGTTCACCCTACATTGTGGCTCTGTGTGCACCCTAAGGATGCCTCAAAGCAAAACCTGGATAGGGTCCGACAGCTCCAAGTTGCCCAACAGCCTGTTGGAACAAGGTCCACCACAGTTCAAAGGCATGCGACCAAATCTAGCAGCCAACAGCGTAACTGCTGTGTCTGGCCTCCAACAACCCACCAGGCAGGCAACAGAACAAGAAAACAGAGCTCCACCAGGGAGGAACATCGTGGAAAGATGTAGGAATAGGCAGACAGGGAGTTAAAACAATTGGATACATGCTCCATGTGTTAAAGAAGGCACAGAAACTGTGACGGTGAGGCCAAAAAGGGATGACGATGCTGAAGAGGCGCAACGGAGCTATATGGAAAGGGAAACCCTAGGAAAGACAATGGCAGGTCAGCACAGCAGATGGAACACTCAGTGCCCCTGAGGACAGCCCAAAACACAGGCTTGGCAACCAATGGGCATAACTGAGGTTAATATACATTTGATAAAATCTCTAAACCCTTAGTATCGAGTAGTTAGACAAAACTCAGGAAGAATAAACCTAGAGAAATGCAAACAAGGCACATTACAAGCAAAATACTGAAAACCAGTAATAAGGAGTAAATCTTAAGATGCAACCAGAGGAAAAAAAGGTGTGTAGAAAAGTGTTATCATAGCAGCTCTAGACTGCTAGCCATACTGAACAAGGATTTCAAGAAGGCTCCCACCGCCTGAACGACAGGAGGAGCTCCCTGCACCTAAACTGTCTGTGCAATGGTACGATTTATATTTAATACCCGCTTTTCTTCTGGAAGGCTGGAATTTGGGGCCATATCCAGCAAAGGTGCGGTGCTGTCACAATCACTGTTGGGGATTAGGCACAACCTGTAGGGCACATGGGGAGCGGCTCTGGGAAGGGAGGGGCGCCTAATCTCCAGATGTACCCTGTGTACCTTTTTTCTTCGGGGAGTCTGGTCAGTGTCCTTTCTGTGAGCACCACCACATGCTAAGTGCTAGGGAATCACCAAAACCTGGGGGTTAGGGTTAGGGACCCCAGAATACTGGGGAAATGGGGAAAAAAAAACCCTGGCAAAATGTCAGACATGAATTCAATTGCATCAGTAATTGCTTGAAACACAAATGGTCTCAACACACTCCATCCAAAAGACAGAGGATGTCAGGATGGATGACAAAGCAAGATTTTATGCTCTTAAAATGGTTTGATGAAACCCACTTTTTGTTTTTAACCCCCACCCAAGGAAATGCCTACTGATTTTAGAGAAAGTGGAAGGGAAAGAGAGAGGGAGAGAAACATCAGTTGGTTGCCTCCTGCATGCACTCTGACTGGGGACTGAATCCACAACCTAGGCATGTGCCCTGATCAGGAATTGAACCTGTGACCTTACGGCTTACAGGATAATGCTCCAACCAACTGAGCCACACTGGCCAGGGTGACACCCACTTTTAACATAAGGCACTACAGACATGGGCTGAGTCAGTCTTTGTGGGGGCTAGCCTATGTGTGTCAGAAGATTTAGCAGCATCTCTGGCCTCTACATGTGATGCCAGAAGCACCACACCCCAATTGTGCCAGCCAAAGATGTCTCCAGATATTGCTATTATATCCTCTGGGGGGAGCTGCTCCCAGGTAAAAACATAGGTGTGTCCACAGTAAGAGGGAAGAACATGCACTGCAAACACCACTAGTCAACAGGCAGCTGGAATGGCAGAGTAGATTTCAAAACATTGAATTCTGTGTGAGATGCAGAGGGTATTCCACATGATGGGGGGTGGTCAGCAGCCCATGAGGGAATATCTTAGTGGGCACACATGAGCACATTAACGCACTATCTGCAGGCCGGGGCAGGTGCCTGAACCAACAGAATGGAAGGACCCAGATTCGAAACATGGAGCCTGAAGTCAGGAAGGAGACCCAGGCAAGCCCAATCTGGAGCCGCCTGAAGGTGATCCTGAGGACAGCAGGGCCCTCACCTACAGCCACCTTACCAGGAGCAAGGACAAGCAGCAGTGTACCAGCCCTATGCTCCCAGGGACCACCCCTCAGGTTGAGTGGAAACATAGCACTACTGGCCACTTCCTTTCAGCCGATCCAACTGCCATATTACAAGTTAGGTGTGTGCCCAGCACAACCTACCCAGAGAGCTGAGCATGGAGATGTCCAGAGAGACGTCAGAATACGACTTCATTGACATGAAATCCAGCACGGAGCCGCCATCTCCTAGGGGGTCCCCAGTCTGTGGAGGACAGAAAACAAAAAAGGAAAGGCACTAAGTGGGCAGTGAACATCCACAGGTAGGACAGGCCTGCTCTGTCATGTCCAGTCCCCAAAAGTGGGCAAGACCAAGCTGTGTCTAGCCCATGCTACATCCCTGGGACCACCAGGTATGAGCTCATGAGTGAGCCACTACCTAGATCAACAATGCCAGACAGGCGCACAAAGGCTACTGGTTCTCTGGGGACTCTGCATCAGGTAGGTACACAGTGCCTGAAGAGCCCACAACTATTTTTCAGGGACTTCACTTAAGTAATGTAGCAGATTCCAAAACAGAGCATTCACTTTCCTTCTCCCAGCGAGCCTCCTGAGGGTGCAGACAGCAGCCACCTCTGCTCTCCTGGCCATCATGGGGCACATCTTCTCCCTGGAAGTCTTCTGTCTACTGTTTCAATTCCCCGTTCTCTACATCATTCCAGAGATGACCAGCCTGCCTTCTCTGAAATACTCTACCCCACCACAAATACATTTTCTTCCATCCAATTTGCTATCAGAATATTAGTTTTTTAGGATTAACATAGAGCTATATTTTAGGTAAATATTTGAATGGCCATCTCTAGTATTTTAAGGCCCTCAAAATTCTGCCAAATCACATACTCTTACACGGGTACTGAATCCTAAGTAACCAATGACAATTTAGTGTCAAATGACAATGCTCCCCTCCCCAAATGACAGTCTGGAGTGACATTGTTTCTTCACCAAATAGTTAAGAAACAAAAGCTTCATCTGAGAGGTGCTGGGAGTTCCTGGGCCCAGCTTGTGCAGATGCTTTTTCTATGCTCCCCCCTCCACCCTAGGCCTCTCCTGGGACTCAGACAGGACCCCTGCCAGCATGCATGGTAGGGAGCGGTGTCCACCTCCATCCAGCAATTCACAGGAACCCAGTGACTGGAAGAAGCTGATGTTCCTGCTACTGAGCAAGGGGACACTAGGCTTATGACCCCCATGACTGTTGGGCTGTCTTGGTCTTGGTGTGAACCCTCTGTGGTCCCAGCCTTGGTATAAACCCTCTGCCATCGGGTTACCTTGGCCTTGGTGTGAACCCTCTGGGGTTGGGCTGTCTTAGCCTTGGTGTAAACCTTCTGGCTGGACTGTATGGGCCTCTGTGTGAACCCTCTGCTACGGGGGCTTTCTTGGCCCTGGTAATCTGCGAATTTGCTTCTTCACTTGGCTTTCATAAAACCTACTTCTAGCTGTTTTGATAAGTGATGTCTCCCAAGAGAAACTGTCACAATAACAATTCAGGCCATCATGAGTTCATGTTTACAGAGCCTGATAATGGGCCAGGCCCCATAAATTCCCACAACAAACCCACCATTACCATCTGCCTCTTAACCAGAGACTGAGGCTTGGAGCTGTTAGGTACCCCGCCCAGGACTCAGCACCAACACCCTTGCTCATCAGGGATCATCATTCCCCAGCTTGTGTCTCTCAAGGATGTAAAAGGTTTACCTGAGGGTCCTAAATCATGACGCAATTTGCAGCTCATTAAGACATCCTGAAAAAACCTGGTTTGTTCACACCCTATTCCCCCTGTAGAAGGACATCTAGCAGCACAAGTTTCCCTAGAGACTACAGCAGAGCAATGCCCCTTCCTATGCACTAATGCACACAGCACACACACACACCAGAGAGCTTTCTCAAGGCTAGACTGCTCCAGAGCTCACCTAAAGGAAAATGGTTTGGCTGTTTCCACTGGTCAAAGCTGGCTAAGTGTGGAGATCTACATTCTAAGATAACATTGAGCATGAGCATGATAGAATGAAGTGAGCAGAGGTGGGTACCTCATATGTCAACACAGGCTGACTATCACACATGAACAGGAAAGCACTTAATGGAGCCGGTCACAGAGACAGGTACAGCCACCACAGGGATGAAGAATAAGGGACAGTATAAGTAACAGGAAGCCTCTTCTGAAAGCTGCCCACACCTGCCCCAGAGCTGACTCTGTGGAGAACTAGCAGCAGGGCAGAAATGTGTGCCAGGCTCCCAGCTCAGGCAGCTTGCAGCATGCCCCAGGTTTTCGAAGATGGGTGTGGGGCTTGCACTCTATGCCACAGTGCACCTGCATAACCAGACAGACCCTGAGCAGAACCCTGGCTGCCTTATGTACCCAGATGCACTACAGACAACACCCTCCTGGAAGACACCTTGTCACCTTCTTCAGTCTGTCACTCAGCAAGCCCCACCTGCCAGACACCTGATCCTCCTGCCCTGGGTGAATCCTACAACCACCAAGGCCAGGAAACAACAGTGGCCTAGGCCCCAACACCCTGCCCAGCATCCTGGCATCTCTGCTCCAAGTGCACTACAAGTTTTTTCCAAGGGACAGGAAATGGCAGGGAGGGCAGGGAACCTTAGCTGGACCACAACGAACAGTTTCCTCAAACAGAAACCATCTACATTAGGCACTCACGAGGCCCCAATGACTTAGATTCGCCAAGCTTGTCTCACTCACAAGTGTACAGTACACATGCACCCCACTGATTTGCCTATTGATGTGCCCACCTTTCAGCAACCCCACCCTTCCCGGCACCTTTGGATTCCTGAGTCTGGATTTGGAGGAATTTATTGTGGTTTTATATCCCTCACCTCAAGCCATTAAAAATCAAGGGGTGGAAAGAGACTACCACTTCATCTTATTCATCAGAAACTTAATTACCTTCTAAATAAGACAATATACAAAGCTCTTCTCAACCATCCCATTTCAAAAGCACAGCACAGCTGTCCTGCTGGAACCCTAATAACAATGTCTGTATTTACATGTCCATGCAACTCACCTTTATTTCATCTGGAGGCTTCACTGGGACATTTCTCCTCTGCAAAGTAAAACAGGCAGGAAATCAGTTTTTCCCAGCGATTTCATATAGGGCAATCCATCCACATCAGGGACACAGGTGACAGCTCATTCACTACTCCTTAGTATTTAAGCCAGACTAACACTAGAAGAAAGGTCGCCTACATGAATCCTAATAAAGCTTAAAAATAATCTTAAGAGGACCAGGGGGGTCAGAAGTAACGACTTGCCAAAACAAACATAAACATTCCTTAAAGGAAGAAGATAAAAACCAGACCAGCCTTGTCCAACAGAAATATAATGTAAGCTTATACCTAATTCTAAATTTTCTAGTAGCCATGTTAAAATTAACCTTCATATAAAATTAGTCTTAACTTTAGTTTTCTTAATCTATTGAAAACATTTTCATCTAACATGTAATCCAAATAAAATAATTATTGACATACTTTCACCCTTCTTTTTTTGTTCTAGTCTTTAAAATTCTAGTTTGTAGCTCACACTTTCCACGTAACTAAAATAAGACAAGCACTTCCAAATTTCCCAGCAGCCCTCTGTGGACAGTGGCTGCTGTATTAGCACAGTCTAGACTTGTAGTGCAAGCCCAACATCCAACCAGGCAACAAAGCAGCAAATCGTGGCCTACAAATCAAAGGAAAATCTGCCCAGAGACAGTTCCAGACAGATCCAGAAAGATCGAAATGACAGAACTAGTGGCTAAGGACTTTAAAAGCAACCATAATAAATATTATGAACATAATGTGAGAATAGATGATGCAAAACCCCCCCCACAAAACAAAAAGCAAAAAACTAAATAGAATCCCAGAGATGGAAAACAGGTATCTTAAGTAAAAAATTCACTACCTAGGATTCACAAATTTAGGTATGGCATAGAGAAGGATTACCAAAATCATAGCAACAGAAACTATTCAAACTGAAAGGAGGGGGCAATTAAGTCTTTTTAAAAGAGGAGCTTCAGTAATATGCAGAATATATCAAGACATCTAACACACGTCAAAGTCACAGAAAAGATAAAATAAGGGTGTGGGCAAACAGTATTTGAAGAAAACAGTAAAAATACGTTCTGGCTGAAAAATCTTCCAAATTTGTTGAAAACCATAAATCAATAGGTCCAAGAAGCTCACCAAATGTTAAACAGAATAAATACAAAGCACACTAAGACACATCAAAAATAAGTAGCTGAAAATCAGTTACAAAGATAAAAAATTAAAAGGCATCTAGAGCATCCCTAAACGGTGTAGCTCAGTGGATTGAGCTCGGGCCTGCAAAGCAAAAGGTTGCCGGTTCTATTCCCAGTCAGGGCACATGCCTGGGTTGTGGGCTAGGTTCCCTTGGGGGCACGCAAGGGGCAATCATACACTGATGTTTCTCTCCCTCTCTTTCTCCTTCCCTTCCTCTCTCTCCAAAAAATAAATTTAAAAAACTTAAAAAAAAAAAAAAAAGCATCTAGAGCAGAGGTCAGCAAACTTTTCTCTGAAGGGCCAGAGAGCAAATACAGGGTGGGAAAAAGTAAATTTACATATTTCAATGGAAATAATACAAATGAATAATACTATAGGTAATGTAAAAACAAACTCTGAGTTTTACATACTAACAACCGTATACCTACTTATACCTACTTTTACCTACCCCTGTATTTGAGGTTTTGAGAGCCATGTAAATAAAGTTTGTAGCATTTTTTTTACAACCTATGAAAAAAGGGAATGTAAAAAACCACTGAGCTCAAGGGTCAGTTTGTCAACCAAAATAGACATATTGCAAATGGAAAACAAGATAAAAATAACTGCATACACAGAAATAGTGCAAGTCAGGTATCTTAAAGCAGAAAGGAAAAAAACATCAACGTATTGATTCCACACCCATGAAAAATGAATTTAAAAATGATGGTAAAGTAAAGCCTTTCCCCAAGATTAGTTGAGCAAATTCACTGTCGCCAACTCTATACTATAACATGATTCTTCGGAACAAAGGAAAATGACAGATGAAAGAAATCTGAGTATGCACAAAGTTATGAAGAGTAGATATATGGCAAACAGAGAGAACTTTTAAAAGTTTCTTCTAAAGGCAACTGACAGTGAAAAGGAAAAAGAAAAAGAAAAGGTCAGTGAGGGAAGAACTGTTTAGCGATGACCTAAAAGCAGCACAATCTACCCTGAGAAGCCAGTCACTTGGATGGGCTCTTTCACAGGAATGGCGCCACAGTGCAGCCCACCTGCCTCAGCTGGAAGAGCATCCTCGAGTGGTCTCCGCCTGTGATCTGGTCCAGGAGGTCATCCACTATTCTCTTGCTGTAGCTCCCAGCATCCTTCACAAACTCTTGCAGGCTGGAAAGGGCCAGGAAAGAACATATTGACACAAACGCTACATGCTTTCATCTTCCATACTCTGCTGCCACCAATGCCAGCAGTCCTGAGCACAGAAGCCTGTGACATAAGCACACCTCAGTCGCTCCTCCATGAGGTTCTGAGAGCTGCGAACTTCCCATACATTGAAGATTTGGACCAACACACTTCATCAGATCCTCAAAGTGGTCGATGCCACCAAAAAGTTAAAAAGATCTCAAGAAAAAATTAATTTAAAAAAGAAGCACAGTGAAGAACAGTGTATACACATGTGTATGGGGTGATAGAATGACTTATGCTAACTTTTGTAAAAGAAGCACATTCATGCCTGTTTTGGGTTTAAAAATAAAGTAGCCTGAGAAAAGATGCACAGTGTAAATGGCTTCCTAATGGGCAGGGGAAGGAGCAGTTGTGGGAGCCAGGCTCGATTTTTGGGCCTTGTGAATGCTTTAAAAATCAAAATAAAACTAACCAAATTTAAAATGAGGCAGAAGAGCCCTGGCTGGCATAGCTCAGTGGATTGAGTGCGGGCTGCGAACCAAAGTGTCGCAGGTTCAATTCCCAGTCAGGGTACATGCCTGGGTTGCAGGCCATGACCCCCAGCAACCGCACATTGATGTTTCTCTCTCTCTATCTCTATCTCCCTCCCTTCCCTCTCTAAAAATAAAATGGGTAAAATCTTTAAAAAAAAAAAAAAAAAGGAGGCAGAAGATGGAAAACCCATGGTCCTAGCATCAAAGCCAGGCAAAGGCTCAAAAGGGCTGTCCAGACTTCAAAGACCTTCACACAGAGCGAGAAGGGTTGCTGGTCTGGAAGCAATACCACTGAAGTCTCTGCTAGGAGCATTTTACAACAAACCACCACAAGCACAGTTGAGAAGGGAACAGGGACTGGCCAGAACACTCACAGCGTCATCTGGAAGTGCCTCAGGACAAAGCATCTGGGGAAGGTGGCATGGAGGAGTCCAGCAAGAAGGGGCCCTGACACCAAGGCCAAGACCTGTCTGCCTCCCTTTGTGTGCTGCTCGTGTGCTGTGACTTTTACTATACGGCACACAGAGTCTGCATGCATTTCAGGAGCATGTACTTGGGGAAGACAAGCTCAGTCCAGCTACATGGTGCTACCTGAAGAAAAGGCGTTCCGACTGGTGTTCCTGAAGAACTGTGAGTATGCTGCCAGGGAAAACAGGAGTAAAGAGGAGGGTAACCAATTTGTGACACCACCATCTCTTGCATGGAATTTCCTCCTTGGTTTTCCACTTTTACAAAAAACCTGGGCTAGGTATTCATTTAGTGTATTAGGGGCTGATTTTTAAAAATGTTTTCATATATTCTTTTTCTTTTCAGAATAAAACAAAGATGTAATATGGAAAGATTCCATTTCTTAGAGGCTAACAAAATTATTTTCCCCACAGAAAATTACTAAAATTCTATAAGAGTAACTAGAAAACCAATTCACACACACAGAGTTCTCCAGAAACACACTACTACATCTCTTATGTTAATATTACACACACACAGAGGGACAATAAGACAACACAGGCCTCAGGAGACAGCTGACCTGCTGACATCTGCATCTCAGACTTGCAGCCTCAAGGACTGGGAAACAATAAATGTTAGTTGTTTACAGCTCTGTCTGTGGGGCTTGTTATGCAGCCCAAGCTGACTAATGCAGCAAGAACATCACATCTGAATACAACTGCAAAACAAACTCTTACTAAACATACACAGCGGTTACACACACAAAAAGACTTTTTGAGCTACAGCCTAGATCATCACCTCCTTAAAACTGAGACTGAGCTTTCCTCCAGGATGCCACACAAAGGGGAGTGACCACCTAAGAAAGATGGTGTCTGCAGCATGCAGAATGACTCAGCCCAGGGATCCTGGCGACGGTCCCTTCAAGTCTTTCCCCAGAGCCACAAACCTCAGACGACCCTTACACAACTCTCATCTACTCTGCCCTCCCTCCACTGGAGCCCAGGATGGAACGTGCTGTACATGACATTTAGGACAAGTTGGTTGCTTGTATTTTCATATATCAAAAAAAAAAACCTTTTTAAAGATTTTACTTGACCTGGCCTGCAACCCAGGCATGTACCCTGACTGGGAATCGAACTGGCGACCCTTTGGTTCGCAGGCCCATGCTCAATCCACTGAGTTATACCAGCCGGGGCTCATATCTCAAATCTTTGCAAAACTTAGTTATTTCAAAGCCCTATACAGCCCAATATTTACAGCTTCTGATGAAGATGTAAAGGCGTAGGTAAATGCAGTAAATACAGTACTTGCAGCCTCCTACAACCACATCGAAAATATAACCAAACTACAGAAAAACCATCATTCAGAACCACCTGAAATCTAGCTGAATGGAAGTCCTACAACTGAAAATATAAAGAAGCAACACTGAGACTGGTAGAGGGTCAGAGGCGCAGAATGGGCTGGTCCCACACCCACATATGCTGAATAAAAATCAGGAGGGATATCTTGGCTACAGGACATCGCCCCCAAGGAGCAAGGGAAACCAGCCCCATACCAGCCCCCCGCACCAGCCCACGGTTCCAGTGCAGAAGAAAAAGTCCCCATAACTTCCGGCTGTAAAAACCAGCGGGAATTGTGGCTGAGTGAGAATTAGGGCTTCTTGAGTCCTAGGCAGTTCCTCTTAAAGGGCCTGTGCATGGACTTACTCGGACACACTCTGAGTTCCAGTACTGCGGCAGCAGCTTGAAAGGCACCAGGTACATACGGAGAGGAACTGAACTGTCTAGCCATCAGGGAGAGAGGCAGCTTTCCACCAAAGAGAAGTGCTGGTAGAGGCCACAGTTCCTTTTCTGAGCTCTTCACCCACAGAACTGGCAAGTGGGTACCACAGCTGAGTCTTCATCAACCTGGCTACCACTGTTTGCCCCATCCTGGTGTTTTCCTGAGATCCCACCTCACCAACTCTTGGGCCAACCCAAGCTGTTTCCAATGCTTTTCCATTAAGAGTGGCCTGTCTTGGCTCATGTTTCAGATTTTCCTAAAATCTCTTAAACAAGCAGGATCTGGGCTTGGTGTGCCCTGTACCCCCTCGCTAAGTGGCTCCAGGCCCAGCAGTAGTGGCAGCCAGCCTTGATTCACAGCTTATCCTCTCCTGGGTACGTCTAAGCCCAGCACAGGTAGCAGCCACCTATAGAATGCAGCCCCAGACAGAACACAGATGCTGGCAGAGGTTGGCCTGCACCTCCTGGAAGGCACAAAAGCCAGTGTACCTGGTGGACAGCTTCAGATGACATCAAAGCACCACCCAATCACAACCATAAGCAACACACTCAAGGGGCAGAGTCAGTAGGCACCTGAGCCCCGATGAAGTAAGTCCTGCTCCATGGGGTTGGCCTCTGCACAGCTGAACTTCCATGGTGGTCACAGCCAATCCTTGAAGCTGACTGGCCTGGGGCTAAATCACTCCCACTGATGTGCAAACAGCAATGCAGATTCAACTACAAAAGGAAAGTGAACAGAGCCAAAGGGTGCAGAGTCCAACTTGGGTGAACAGGGAGGCTGTGCCACTAGACCCTACAGTACACCTACTACCTACAGTAGGCCACTCTACCAAGCCCAGGAGATGTAGCAGCTCTACCTAATACATGGAAACAAACACAAGGAAGTTGCCAAAATGAGAAGATAAAAAAATGTCCTAAATGAAAGAACAGAACAAAACTCCAGAAAAAGAACTAAACAAAATGGAGACAAGCAAACTACAAAGTTCGAAACAATGGGTATAAGGATGAACTTAGGGGAAGAATAGACGAACTTGGAGAGAATTTCAAAAACATAAAAAAGGACGTGGAAACCATAAAGAACCAGTGAGCCAAGAAAGATACACTAATTGCAATGAATAATTTACTAGGAATCAACAGTGGAATAGATGAAACTGAGAATCAAGATGGCAATTTCGAATAAGGAAACAAAAAACATCCAATCAGAATAGCAAAAAAGGAGAATTTAAAATAATGAGAGCAGTATAAGGAGCCGCTGGGACAACTTCAAGTGTACTAACAAGCTCATCATGCAGGTGCCAGGAGAGAGAGAGCAAGAAATTGAAAAGCTATGTAGAAAAATAACAGAAAATTTCCCTAACCTGGTGAAGGAACTACATAAGTTCAGGAAGTGCAGTCCCCAACAAGATGAAACCAAAAGACGCGCACCAAGATATATCATAATTTAAATGCAAAAGGTTAAAGGCAGAGAATCTTAAAAACAACAAGAGAAAAGCAGTTAGTTACCTACAAGGGAGTTCCCATAAGACTGACAGCTGACTTCAAGACAGAAACTTTGCAGGCCTGAAGGACTGGCAAGAAATAGTCAAAGTGATGAAAAGCAAAGACCTACAACCAAGGCTACTCTACCCAGCAAAGCTACAACTTAGAATCAAAGGACATATAAAGAGATTCCCATACAAGGAAAAGCTAAAGAAGTTCATCACTACCGAACCAGTATTATAAAAAACATTAAAGGGTCTTCTTTAAGAAGACAAAAATAAAAACAGAATGAAATAAGTGAACAATAAAATAGCAATAAATACATATCTATCAAAATTAAATCTAAAAAACAAATGACAAGCAGAACAGAAACAGACTCATAGATGCAGAGAAGCTTTTGATGATTGCCAGGTGGGATGAGGGTTGAGGAGCTGGGTGTAAAAGGTGAAGGGATTAAGAAGTATAAACTAATAGTAACAGAGTAGTCATGGGGATGGATATAAGGTACTGTATAGGAAATACAGTCAATAATATTCTAATAACTATACATGGTGTCAGATGGGAACAAGATTTATGGTATGATCATTCAGTAGGTTGCGTAATGTCTAATCACTGGGGTGTACACCTGAAACTAACATAGTATTGTATGTCAACTGTAATTGAAAAATAAAAAATGATTTAAATGAGAAATTGTGATTGAGTTACCCAAAATTCACAACCAGGCTACAGCAAACCACAAGAGTTGACTGAAAACTACTTGGGAATTTCTGCTATTTGACCTGCTGCCAGTGGCTGTCTCCCCAACAGACGGGCTCTGAAGTGCCTGCTTGGTAGGAAAACGGCCCCTGTTGCAGAGCGAGCAAGAGGCCCGCCTGTGTCTCTGTGCACAGCTTACCTCAGTGCACACTGCACACCCGTCTCGTCTCCATAGGCAGAATACAGAAGCTCCATTTCGTCTGATTTCAAGTCTCCAAATACAGAATTATTATGCATTGAAAGCGCAGTACTGGCACTTGATAATAATGTGACTAAGAGTGGGGAAAAAAGGGAAAACATAAGAAACAGCACATTTATACTCAAATCACATCTGGCATGAGACGAACTCCACCTTTCTCCTTGGGCTGCTCATCCACACTCTTGTACAAGGCACCGCCCTCAGTGGCACACTTTCTTCCCTACGAAATTCTTGCTGAACTACTGACTAGTAGAAGCTTTGGGGCATGACTAGCGGAATCACTTCATCACCCTTGTGTTACATCTGTGGCCAATGGCTACAGAGAATGGTTCAGTGTTTTGTAAAGGAGTGAGTGCAACAAGTAGAAGGGCTTCTTGGTGCCAGCTCTTGTCCCAACCCAGACATTACTGGGAACCTCACCTACAGAGGCTGGCTCATGCTGAGGGGATACAAAGGGAATCGGAGGGTCACTGTCCTGAAGGAGGTACATGCTGGCAACTGTGCACGAATGATGTCAGAGGCTGGGAGGGTTGTGTCCTGGGCACAGAAGGGTGTAAGGAAGCAACCCAGGCCTCTCCACACTGAATGCTGGTAGCACCCCAGTTCACAATCAAAATGTCCCCTGGGAACAAAACAGCCAGAAATACTAACAGACACTCCAAAACAAACCAAAAAGCCAACCACAAATACAAATGCAGCCAATCTCCCACACCCTCCCTAATTCTCTCTGGAGAAAGTCATACACAGCTCTCTCTTGGCTGGAGGCATCATCACCCCTCCTTCCAAATGAATAAAATGTGACAGTTTGTTGGAGGACAGTAAATTTCCGCCACTAGATCACCACCACCTAGCCCCAAGAGTCCTGGCTATCACAGCAGTGGCAGCCCACCCAAGAATGCCATGAAGTACAGGACTGAGACCAATCCATCAGTAAAGAGCAGAAGGCAAAGCAGGAACTTGCCTAATGTCATTTTTATTCCTGTCATTCAAATGGTCTTAATTTTACTATTGGTTTCAAAATCAGAATCTGGATATATTTCTAAAAACAGGTAAGTCAGGAAGATCTTGGAGGAGGAACTGGGGACTCCTTTGCGATGACTCACTGACCTGTGGGTGCTCCTCCCCCACACTCCCCACACATTCCCTGCACACTCACCTTTGCTCCTCCTCTCGTCTTTGAAGCCCAGTGTGGTGAAGCTGAAGCCGGGGAGCAACTTGCTGGAGAGTGAGCTCAGGTCCACTGGGTGGGTCTCCTCCTCTGCAAGAAGAGCAGGGCTGTGAGTAGGCGGTTAACGGATCCCCCCCATCCCACACAGCACCTCGAGCACTCTCTTCACCTCACAGTAGACGTGTCGGAGAGGGCCCAGGGGCTCTCTGTAAAGACCACCTAAAATCGAATTCACAAAAGCCAACTACGCCCATTCTCAAACCTCAACCACACTCCAATTTCACTTTATGACTACCCCAAAGTCAGCATAATGAGAAACTTCTGCTCTCTGACCGTGACACTAGAAACATAATTTTCAACTTGACCACTCACCACTTCTAAGGAATGCTGTATGTGTTCTTATAGCAACAGTAGAGCCCCCACCTTTGCACACTCTCCGAATGCACATTTCCTATGCTGAAGCTGTCACTCACACACTATTCATGTGACCTGAGCAGGGTTCTTCAAATCCCTAATTGGAACCTCTACTTCACGTTCTTTAACTAAGCCACTGATCAACTTGTCTACTCTCTTATAAAGACAGTATGATTCATTCTGGCTAAAGAACAAAGAAACTGATGAGAATTTATACTTTGTATACATCAGAAAATGCAAAATAAAACTGTGTGTCAAGGGCTGGATGAAATAATGCCACCAGGCATGTCAGGCCCATGGGGCTGCCCTGCATACATGTGCGCATGGCCAAGAAAAGTGCTTCATTCTCTGGGTGTGTGTGCATGCCTGCATATTCAGTTCCAGAGTTTTACTTTTCTTTAAAAAACAAGCCTTTGAAATCTTTTTGAAGGAGATGAAAAGTATAAAAATGCTTATTAAAGACCACAAAAAAACCCAGTATTTATGCCTTCATCAACATCTTCCTTGATGCAATTATCAACTTGGGGTTTTTTCTTCTAAAACTTGTGTTTGAGCTGACAGTTACTTCTTCAAGCTTTGCGAGTAGAGCAGCATTGAGGACTGGTTTCTGCCAAAGGAGTCATTACTGCATGTGTGAGGTAAATCCTCACGACAGCATCAGGATGTCAAGCCTCGAGCCTGCAGCTCTGCGGGAGTGCAACTCCTGTCCTGCTAGCTGTCCTAGGGACCCTTGGTCAGAGACGGTCTGGCAGCACCCCCACCCCCACGGGATGACCAGCCTCAGTCTGTTTACCACACAAGCATCGTGGTGAGGGGGGCCGTGTCGGAGCGGGAAATTGAACAGGGCTTGTCGTCTACACTTAACCACTGGCGTCACGCACTCCAGTGAAAACACACATCACACACAGGTTAAAAGGTTTTAAAACACTGATCAGAAATAGAGGTTAGCAGAACAGCACAAGGATGAAAAAGGATACTGAGCCCTGAGATGGGCCACCCACCGTCGGCGTCTGGCTCAGCTGTGTTGACCACACTGTAGAGCAGGTTCCCATCTCCGCTCTTCTTCAGATAGCCCATCTGCAAGGAAGCACGCTTGAGTGCACAGTCCCCCCTGAAGTGACAGCCCTCAGCTTTTGCAGTTGAGACTTCTACTGAAGCTCCAACAAAATAAAGGCCTAGGAGTATGGCCTAGCTTGGACAATCCTGAAAGGTCACAAAGATCACTTGTTTCTCTATGAACAAAGGAAAGAGGCCCCTCTCATACCTTTCCCTGGAGTTTAAGACCCACTTGCGAACAAAGTGCACACGAGTGCAATGAAAGAACTCCTTAGAAAAGTTCCTCATAACACCTTCTAAAAAAGAGCTTTTGAAAGAAAACAATTTACCTAGAAACAGCTTTTTACAGTAGGTCAGAAGCCTCAATAAAATGAGCTAGAACAAGACACTGGTCAACAAACATCCTGTTACCAACAAATAGTTCAGGGTCTCCATCTCTAAAGCATGTGGGAGCTATTTCCATTTAAAAACCAACCACCAAACAAAACCAACTCGTCCTCTGCAGGCCATGAAGAGAGTGAGGAAGAGAAGGCACCTTTGTGCTGGTGTGTGTGGGGAGATGGTGGAGAAGGGTGCCCACCTGTTCAGGTGCTGGAGCCCAAGTAGAGGGAACAAATGTCTGAGTGGGAGGAGCAAGCCTGGGAGGGGAACCAGGACCCAAGCTGGGTGAGCAGGGCATGGCATGGAGGATGGGAGATTAGTTACCCTTGGTCAAATAAGTGTATTAAGGGTAAAAGAAGCCAGGTTTCTCATTGTGAAATTACAAAAATGAAAGGAAAAAAAGGAGAAGAGGCTTGGTGGTACTAGATGGCATCAGAGGTTCAGTGTAAAAACATGGTTTTTGGTGAATGTAAACACAGATGTCAGTCTAGGTTCCCTCTAGAAGTCATATATATGTAGTGGCCTTTCCTAGCTCTCTCCGTTGAGGGCCACACACAGCGCCCAGGTCTGGGTTTCTAAACGCCATTCTCCACTAGGAAGCAGGGTTCCTTGGAGAAACAGCAGATTCCATGGCTAAGGTGCAACAGGGGTGCAGACTGGCAAGTCCCATGGAATGACAGCCCCACAGGAAACCTCAAAGTTTCTAGCAGGCTCAATAAATAAATAAAACAGGTAAAATTAATCTTAACAGAATTTATATAACCCCAAACATCCAAAATGTTATCATTTCAAAGTACTTTATAATCTGAATTTTACAGACTTAGAAAAAATTGTAAAGTTCTAGTTCAGACTATCTGTTTAAATATGACTTTGGATGTATCAGAGCAAATAAAATATATTAGAATTTCACCTGTGTCGTTAGCATGAATAAGAAGTTTAAAGCTGCATACGTGACTCACACTATTTCTACCGGATATGCTGGCCTAGGATGTATTCTTATGTCAGAGAGGAGATGCTCAAAGGATGGTGTAACCTCCTGATGACCAGCACCCCACTGGACAGGCTCCCTCCCACCAGCCATACCTGCGTCAGACACACGAGTGACTGCAGCAGCACACAAAGATGTGAGTGCACGGGGAGAAGAATTAACCTGCAGCAGAGAAGTCTGGTGGGCTCAGCCTCTGTCAAATGATGGAGGTTAACATAGTCCTGACACAGGCACTTGTCCCTGGAGGACCCCTTACCTCCCAGGAGATGGGGCCAGTGGCGACAATGGCCAGTGAGGAAAAGGTGCTGACTCTTGACTATAGCACACACTCCTGAGCTGGACCCTCCAGTGACAAAGGCACCCCATGACAGCAACAGAGCTCGGACTAGACACTTGAAACATCCAGACATTAACCTCTTGACTCTGAGGGCTGTGCCACTGTCCTGGCAGAAAACACACCACCCATCAGGGAGCACTACCTTGCTGCCTGGAAGGAGTCGGTTGATCCTGTCCCGAGCCTCATCGGCAGCATGCTCCACCAAGGCCAGTACATGTTCTTCTGCTGTGCTGTCAGTCAGACTGCAAGCGTTTCCTTCTGGCTCAAACATGCAGCTACAAGGCAGAAAAACTGCAAAAGTCACCACAAGGCACACGGCATAACCACTTCACCCCTGCCTCACAGCAGTCAGTCCCTAATGTCCCCAGTCACACAAATACCCAGTAGGAGTGACACAAAGAGTACTTATGCTCTCCTCCCTTTTAGTGCTAACCACAGTAAAACAAGACCCTTTCGTTAAGATGAAGAGTAAGTGTAAATCGAGTAAACTTTCTCTATCAGTTACATTTCAGTTGCTTTAAGAAGAAACATCACATGACAGAAGCCTCATTGTTAAAGCCTCTTTCAAGGTACCATTAGAAAAAGTGGCAAAAATCCTGTGGAGGGTTGAGGAGCTGGTAGCGAGTCAGGGCCAGGAGCACAAGCCTGCTTGCTCACTGGGCTGAAGAACAGCCCTCACTGCAAGGCCCAAGGGATGCCCCAAGCCTTTAGCAGGTCAGCCTCGGGTTCCACATGGAATTCTTGATTCGAACAGTTGAGAGGTGCTAGGTGAAGTATCCAAGGGAGGTAATGTCTGCTGTGGAAGTTTCTAGAAGTAGGTGGGTGAGACACTTCCAAGGAGTCATGGGAGCAAGCCCTGCCTGGGGATGTAATTTAGCCTATGGGAAGCCCTTCCTCTTGTGTAGTTTACAGCTACGGGAGCAGGGAACTCAGGGAGCGTGGTGAGAAGTGCATGTTGCCATGCATGCTGTCTGCTCAACATGACAGTTTTGTTCCCTGAGCCTGGAACAGGCAAGCCCAGGTCACCAGCATGTGTTCTGCACGTGAGGTTTCTTCAGAAGAAAGGGCCAAAAACTATTCACAAATAGGACACATGTGGGAACAGCAGTGAGCAAAGGGCATGCTGCAGGGCTGAACAAATGGGCTCACTGCGTCACACCTGGGACAGATCATGTGTGCTTACAGGAGGGACTGTCTCAGCCCTTACGCCTCCTGTGTCCATTAGCATGACACTGCTCTACTCTAGGACCAGTCACTGTGCTGGCTGTAGGATGGTGGTATGTCCACATAGAGAGAACACAGGTCAGAGAGCAAACCACCACTTCCTGCAGAAATGACAGCGGGGTCTCATGATCTTCTGATACTTTCCAGTGGTAATGGTGACATACAGTACCCACACACTATGATCACCTCTCTCTCAAGGTGGGCAGGGAAGGATGGCCACATCCCTCTGAACATAGATCTAAGCTTGTGAGGAGCTATGCTCCTCCCACCAGGCTGCACAAGCAGTGTACCCCTAAGCTACTCCAGAGACACAGGCAGAAACATAGGCCGGTGTCCCTAACCTACTCTCCCCGGGGAGCACCTGCCTTCCCAAGGTGAGTGTCCGACTCCACAGGCAAGTGCACTTCTCTTTACCTGATGACTTCTCTACTCGGCCTTTTGGATTTCTTGGTAGTTTCTACTTGTACAGGTACAACTTCTGGAACAGGTTCCTCAACAGCTGTGTCTTCGTTGCCCAGAAGAGCTGCCTGCTGAGAAAAATCCATGTCCTGCATAAACGACATGCTGCGCTTCAAAGCTAACAGCCGCTCCTAGAATCAGAAAGGACAGAGCAGCACGACTTTACCTCTCCCTCACAGCCAAGACGCCATGACGATGGGATGGGATGGGGATGGCCACAACCTCACCTGGCCTAACAGCTAATCTTCCATGCGGTGCAACAGGAGGTGGTGGTGGGGTCAACACCAAAGGGTGCAGCCAATTAGCTGGCGAGCACTTAGAGCCGGCGGAGGGGAACAGGCCAGAGGGCACAGGGCTGCACCTCACCTACAGGCTCATCAGGGAAAAAGCAGTGGTCCTAGACATGTGGCGCATGCAACCTGGCTCCTAAGACAGACCTTAGAAGCCACTCAGGATGGCCAGGATGGCCCGGCTGGACTCAGTGAGGCAGCCACACAAATCAAACCCAAAAGGCTGGCTGCAACACAGTGAGAAATTCACCCAGACTTGAGATCAACAGACCCAGAATGTTCTACCCACCCTAAAGGAGATTGTACAGCTAGGGCAGGAACAAGAAGAGAAAGAGGAGAGTGCCTGGAGGAGAGGGACATGGAGAGGACAGCCTGTGGCATCTACCCTAGAGCAGAGGGGTCCATGCCGTGGCCAGTGACGGGAAGATGGAAACATGTCATTCACTGTGAGTGAGTTTCTGTTTAGGCATAAACAACGTAGAGGAGAATTCTCGTTTCTGTAGCTCCTCGGTGTTAGTGGCTTTCTTACTTTGCTCATCATCTTAAAGCCTGCGTGAAGGATCTTCTTAGCTAACTTGTAGTACACAGTGTCTGGCCTGTTGTATGTCATTGCATTATCACACATCAGTTTGAAATCTGCCTGAAAAAAAAGGAGAAAACAATTCATCAAGTTTGAAACACCACACAGCAGCAAAGAGTTTAGATTCCTGTCAAAGAGGCCAAAATGAAGAGCTGAAAATTAAGTGAAAACAATTACATTTGCCTCCTTGATTAAAAAAATAACTTTAAAGCTTTCAGAGAAATTTTCATACTTGTTCACTGATCTCCATTTACACGAAACAAAGTCTGTACTTCTTTTTGAGCATAATATGTACATTTCATCTGAGGAAGATGATGGCTCCCTCTGCATCCTTCCTGTCTCCAACCCTCTCTCCTCTCTTTGAGAGGCGCTCGGATGTAAATAGGAGCAAGGACTAACAGCTGAGTTAAGTAAAAGTCCAGGGATGAGCTGAGGGGTAGGCACAGTCAGGTGCTCTATCTCTGGGATTTTTCCATGGAATTTAAAATTTTGTCTACAGTTATCCTAGTTTTATATAGAAGAGAGCTCAAGTAATGTTTTACTAAACAATAATTTATATTAAAAGTTATTCGAAACATCAGTATTTCAACATCCCAACCAAATTATTTAGCACACAGCTGTCACAGGTGAATGAGACACCAGGATGGACAATGACAAGTGAAGCCACACACCAAGAGTGTGTGCTATCTGGGGACCTTACCAAGTCACTGTGCCAATGTTCCCAGGGCTGAGACTGAGGCTATGAAGCCCCCATCCATCACAGGTCCCAACTGTGGTGGGTTCAGAACACCCTCTTGACTTGTGTTTCTCTGACTGGCTTATTTCCCTTAGCATAATGCTCTCCAGGTCCTTAAGACAAGTACCATATGATTTCACTCATATGTAGAATCTAATTAACAAAATAAACTGACAAACAAATAGAGACTCATAGATAAGAGAATAGACTGATAGCCATCAGAGGTGAGAGGGTTGGGGGCTGGGTGAAAAAGGTGAAGGAATTAAGCAAACAAACAAACAAACTCATAGACACAGATAACAGTATGATGATCACCCAAGGGAAAGAGGGGTGAGGGGAGGGAGAAGAGGGTATGGGGGGATAAATGGTAAATGGAGAGAGACTCAATTTGGCACAAACACACAACACAACATACAGATAATGTATTATGAATTGTACACCTGAAACCTGTATAATTTTATTTTTTGAGAAAAAACCATTCTCTTGAGGACAAGAGATGATGTGGACACTGCTCACACCTTGGCTTTGTCACTGGGCCAGAGACAAAACTGGGGACCATAGTTAGGAAAGACAGAGAACTGTAGGGCATGGAGACTGATACCATTTGCCCCCTGGAGCACTATTCCTTCCTCCTGTGAAAGTTCTTCCTTTCTCCCGTCTATAGGTCAGCAAACCCTTTCAGTGATGTTTCCAGTAAACAGAAAAGCCAAGTTTTTCAGAAGTTAGCAGACCTAAGAAAGGAGCCTAGTGTTGTCTCCTGAATGATACTACTGCCAATGCTGTCAAGCATTCGCTTTGATTCTCCCCCAGGGTGTTGGAACCAATCAATAATTCCTACCTCTCACAGCCAGTACTAAGAAAGAGAGTTAAGAGCTAAGTATTCAGAGGATTTAAGAACTTACTGTTCTAAAAAACTCAAACTCCCAGTTATTATAAAATAAAATTGAGAATCAGGAAAATTACATTTTTAAAAATACCTATTCTGGAACCAGGCCAAATAAGATATAACTTTGCTTGACCTAACATGTCTCATTTAAGCCAGCACTTAACTTAAAAAGAAAGAAATGCATTTCAAATAGCATGCTAACACACGGGCCAGCTTCTAGACCAGCGATTTTCAAATGGTGTGCCAAAAAGGCTCACTGGTGTGCCGTGAGAATTTTTAAAACATGCAGTACCTGACTATACAGTCAGGGCCACTGACCTCTTTCCCCTTAGTCCATCAAATAAAAAATTACATGGGCCATGTTATAACAAAGATCGAAAATTACTGCTCTAGACCAAAATACAGAGAAAACTACAACCAACCCATTTGCCTGATGCGATGTTTGTGAAACATCAACCCAAACACAGCAACAAGTGTGAAAACCTGCAAGTAGAAATGACCTACGTCTGATAAATGAAGTGTTTACTGGACATAAACTAATGCAGAGCTTCCTAACAATTATTTTAGGAACTGAAATTAATTTACCTTAAATTCTGTGACTGACTTGTATTCATTGGCCACAATTTTGTCTTTCATTGTGCCAAAATCCATCGGATGTTTTATTATCATTGAGTATCCAGGAGCAATTGCATCCGTGACAGGAAAAGCAAAAAATCCATGAGGATCTTTTCTGAAAACAAAAACACCTTTATTTAAACTGGAAACCCCTAAAACCTAAATTTCTGAATGATACAAAACCCTTCACCATAAAAATTTTAATACAGTTGACCAAAGTTTATTTCTTAAAAATAAAAAATAAAAACTCATGCCCTTTAAAATTGTTGTAGGTATTTTTGGATACACTAAAAATTCCATGACTAGCACCCTGGCTGCAACCACGGCATCTACATCACAGCTGTCTGACCCCCACACTGACAGTCTCCTCCCCGCTCTGCTCTGGAATGGTGCTTGCCCGTTCTGTCAAAATGGGTGTTTCCAGGGTAGGCAAAGTCTCTGCTCCACACACAACGGTGGTGGTGGCAAAAACACCTCACAGAGAAGAACCCAAATACCCTGAAATGAAAGCTCTTTAGAAACACTCGTTACCTCTGGAGCTGGCGGAGGAAATGCTCTAGCAGTTGCTGAATAGGTGTGCTCTCGTTTTCAGCTGATGATTTAAAAAGGAAAAAAATAAAATTGAACAAAAAGATTCTGAAATCACTTCACTGGAGTGCTTCAATTTCATTGTGCATACTTATTTGTTTCAAGTTCCAAAGCATTTTCATAAGAAGGTTGAAGTAAGAAGTGGATACAAAGGTCAACCAAACTCAGCCTTGGCCCCCCACCAAGTTCAGCTGGGTGTAAAGAGCACCTACACATAGGTCCCCAATCCCTAGTGCCAAAATCCCTTAAACCAACAACATCAATCTATTTCCCTATCACCAATGGGCCTGATACATCACAGATAAGGTATGAAAGGAAGAACAAAGGCTTTGGATATAGTACTTGATGGATTCACCAACTATCATTTCACTTGAGAGTCCTAAACTTCTGGATATGCCCGTTCTTCATGTGTAAAACTGGAATAAGAATACACACTATAGGGGTTATTGTGAGCACTGCAGTTCTTAGCTACATCTCTGGGCACACATGTAAAAACATAATTTTTGGTGAATGTAAACACAGATGTCAGTTTAGGTTCCCTTTAGAAGCTGTATGTTTGTAATGGACTTTCCTAGCTCTGTCCACTGAGGGCTACACCCACCATCTGGACTTTGGTTTCTAAATGCCATTGTCCACTGAGGAACCAAGTCTGAAGCACAACATGAGTGCAGACCAGCAGGTCCCCAACAGCGATGTTCTTCAGAGCGACCAAGAAAAACATCATGTGATCATTAGCTCTCCACGCATAATGCGGGGGGATTACCCAATGCATAACATCAAGGAGACAAGTTAGATTAAGTTACAATTTACCAGTGACTGTACTAACTTTATAGACACATTCATTCATTTATGAAATGTTATTTGCACCTGACCCATTCTTCCCAACATGCTCAGCAGCCCCAAGACCTATCTGTTTACCATGGCAATGACTCACTCATGGGAGGGTACTGCCAGAAAACAGCACCCCACCATGATTGCAATACTATACTTTCTACCTCCACCAGCAAGAAAAGAATCGCCTGAAAAGCAAGCCTCCTGACCATTTGGAAGCCTCTGAGGGAAGTGACCACACACAGATCAGGGTGTTCCAGAAGCTCTCCTTTGGTAGAGTCAGCACAGCTCCCAGTGTTTCTGAAGTCCTTGAAACACTAGCCTCCTCCCATCTATGATGAGCTTCTTAGTTCATGGGCTTAAAGAAAAACACCAGAAGCAGCACTTGACCAAACCCTGCTCTAGAAGTTCAAAGATGATGACAAGAACCTCTGATATTTCACACGAGGCCTTGGAAGAGAAAACACTGTTCCTTCCTTCTGTGCTTCCCCAAAAAGCTGAAAGACACAATACCAACCACTGCTTCACAGTAACAAACTCCAATAGTCCAAGAAAGTCTTTGAAAATGCCAGCACTTGCCTGGTTGGGTCCGGCACGCTCGGACTGGCCGATCAGGGGGCGGCTCCACCTCTACCTTCTTCCCAGGATCAAAGTCATCAGCCTCTCCCTCCGTGTCACAGTGTTCCTTTTCCCGTTTCCGCTTCTTCTCTTCCTATGAGGCAAAGTCAAGGCAGTGAGAGCAATGCAAACAGCTTTAAACAAACCTCCTGTTTGTAAGGGAAAACACAAAGCCAAGAGAGAAACACTCTCTTTCAGAGACTCTTCCCACTCCAGACTCCCACCCTTGCAAAGACCCTCCCCAGGGGTCAGGGGAAAAGTGATGCACAAAGAGCCAGAAGTGAAGCAATTACCTTTGCAGTCTGTTTTGCTACAAACAAAACACCCCCTTTTCTAAGTCCTGCTGCACTCCTGCCTGCCACCTCAGGGGTTTGGGACCAAGACATGGTGGCCACCACCACCCTGTTTTACCTTTCGCTTCCTTCTTTCTTCATCGTCCATATATTTCTCCTTCTCTGATTTTTTCTTTTTCTTCTTCTTCTTTTCTTTATGTCTCTCTCGCTCATGGTCTGACCTATCATCGTAATAACTGGAGTCATGGCCAGATCCAGAGAGTTCAGTCACTTCGCTCCCTCCAACCTTGAGGACCAACTTCAGGGGCTTCTCCAAGGGCTTGTCTGCATAATCTGTAGAGACAGAGACGGTGGCCTCCAGTGCATGCTTAGAGAAAACATCACCCAGGTGGGTGGCATGACTGGCTAATGTGTGGGTGTTATTGTGGAGGCCCTAGAGGATGATTGGCCCTACTAAGGTGGAGCAGAAGAACGCTAAAACCATCAGGGAAAGACGGTGGGGCAAAGCTGAGAGTGGCTGAGGGTTATTTCTGTTTCCTCTCCACTTCCTTCCCCCTCACCCTGCATTAACCTCAAGGAGCCTGGGAGAGGGAAAAGCAACAAAACCAGTGGAAGCAACAAGGTCAGGAGCTGGGACCCCGCAGACCGATCCCACACCCCAAAGCCCCAGGCCCTGTTCACCCCCTTGCTTTCCGCTGACGCGTAACGAACTGCTGCTGCAGGACCAGGAACGGGAAAGGAAAGGCGGGAAGACAAACCGGTAAGAACTTCTCCCGGAGACTCAGACACCAGCCAACTCACATGTTCGGCTTTTCTCCAGGATTTCGGAGGTGGACCCGACGGAGCTCGAACCTCCGCCCCCGCGAGCCCGGGACCCCGCCCACCGCAAAAGCCCGCGAGCCCGGGATCCTTAGCGCGTCCCCGGGACCCTCGCCTGTCCGCCCGCCAGCCCGCGCGAATGCCTAACCAGCCCGGCGTCACAAAGCGCGCCCGCTGCCTCACCCTCATACGACGAGCGCCACTCGGTCTTGTGCTTCTTGTGCTTCTTGCCCATGGCGGTTGTGGGGCAGAGCGCGGAGCCGTGGGCAGCAGCGAAAGCGGCCGGAGCGTGGCCGCCGCTCCGCGGCCCTGGCTCGCCCCCCGCCTCAGCTTGTGGAGGTCGAGGGGCCGCGCCGGAAGCGGACCTCGCGCCCGGAAGTGGCCCCGCCGCTTGCCGGCACGAGCGCTTCCGGGTCGGGTGACGGAACGCTGCGCGCGCCAGATTCAAATCGCGGACGGGGCCGGCGGGCCTTTTGGCGGCTGTGGCGGAGGTGGTGTTGGATGTGGTGGCGGCGCCGGGCGTCCGGCGGCGGCCACGCTCGGCCCGGCTACTCGGTGCTCGTGGCTGCGACGGCGGAGCCATGGACCAGGCCGTGGGCGACCTGAAGCAGGCGCTGCCCTGCGTGGCTGAGACGCCGACAGTCCACGTGGAGGTGCACCAGCGGAGCGGCAGGTGAGCCGGCCGGACCCGACCGGATAGGACCATGGTAGCCCTGAGCGGATCCCGCACCTGCGTGGCCCCTACCGATGACACTCGGGCCAGACGCTGCCCGGAGCTCACTGCGCCGGACTCGGTCCAGACCTATCTGGCCTGACTCTGAACAGGACGGACGCAGTCCTGCCGGGCGCAGCTCAGGAAAGCTGGAAGTGGGAAGGGCCAGATACTCAAGTGTTTTCAGTGCTATCTCAGAACCAGTCAGCAGGGCCGTCAGATGGCAAAGTGGGCCTAGGGGAGCCTTGAATGCCAAGCCAAAAAGTGTTAGGTTTCCTCAGGGTGAATGCCAGGCCTTGGACACTTGTTAAAATGCAGACTCCTGACCTGATCCCACAGCTGTAAGGTTTCCTTCTTTCACTAATAATAGGGAATAGTCAACATTTATTGAATGCTTACTATGTGCCAGGCATTACCCTAAACACTCAGAATGTATTGACTAATCTTCATAGTAGCTTAGTGTAGCAAGAAGTTTTGCTACTGCCCCATCTATCTGATGGAGAGCTGAGGCACAGAGTTCTTGGGCCACTGTGCAGGGGCCACACAGCTAGCTGGCAGTAATGAGTGACTCTAGCTTTGATCCCCAGGCGGCCGCTTCCTCCTCCTTTGTTCTTAAGTGCTGAACTTTCTTATGTATACCCTGATTTCTTAAAAAAACAAAAAACAAAAAACCACTATTGTTAAAGTCTTGCTTCTTAACCTAGAACTGATCTGTGTGTTTTGTATGTTTGTCCAGCACAGCAAAAAAAGAAGATATAAAGCTGAGTGTTAGAAAGCTACTTAACAGGCATAATATTGTGTTTGGTGATTACACATGGACTGAGTTTGACGAACCTTTTCTGACCAGAAATGTGCAGTCTGTGTCTATTGTTGACACAGAATTAAAAATTAAAGACTCACAGGTAAGTTATTAACTTCCGGGGGAAGAAACCATTAACCCGTAGCTGAGTAGGAAGTTGGTGCCCTGAATGTCTGCTTGCTGCTTTGGTAGCGTATGTCAGAAACGGGTTTGCTTTGATGACCTGTTGGTTTGACATCTGGACAAGTACTGGCTCTCTCGCAGGAGCCAGATGCGGGGAGTAGATGTGGCCTAAGGGTCTGCATGCCGTCAGTGCAGTCGGAGAGACTGGGAACCAGGAACTAGATTGCAGCACCATAGAACAGAGGGCTGTACTGATGAGGCCTGTGAGCCTTCTCTTGTGTTCTTTCAGTAAACTATTTTATGGGTGCTCAGCACGGGTGTTAGGACCGTAGGATGTGTGGGGACAGCGGAGATGAGGAAAAGGGCTTGCCTTCTTGAAGCCCTTCATCTAGCCCACCATACAGACTGCCTCACCCACCATCTTACAGAGTTCATGTGTGGGAGCTAAGGAGAGCTTTGTGTAACTGTGGAGGAGTTGTGGCAGGTGTACCACTGTAAAAACCACCCAAAGTGCCCACCTCGGGAACATGCGCCACTGATACCCGGGCAATTTCTGTTCTTATGGAGAGTTGATTTGGAAGAATTGGTATGGCACTAAAATAATGCTTACGTGGTGGACCTCCTCACTCTTATATTATGACCAGTATTTGTTACATTGATGGAGTTTTATCCATACTGATATCTGATGCCATTGTACCCAATTTTGGCCAGCCTGGGGGGAAATGGAGAGCTTCCCAACACTTGTGGAGGGACAGTTAGCACAGCCTAACTGGAGGACGTGGGTGCTACCCTCTAAGCATCTTTGATTGCAGATTCACCTCAAGGAATTTATCTGAACAGATAGTTGTATAATTCTGTAGAGATGTGTGAACAAGTATTATTAATAGTAGCTAACAATTTGAAATATTTTAACTATCCATAAGAGATTGGCAAACATCTGACACATTTACACCAAATGTGATGTAACCATGAAAAAGATTTTTATCTACCAATGTAAAATGTCTCTAAACTCTAGTAAGTGGGAAAAGCATGATAGAAAACTGATAGAATCACTTTTGTGGATGTGTTATAGATTAACATCTATGAGGTTGGATGTTGGGAACTTTGATATTTTCTATTCTATATTTGCAATTTTTAAACATACATCTGTTCCTTTTGTAACTATAAAAACAATAAAGTTGTTTTTTCAGAGAGATATTAGACCCTAAAAGGGGAGAGGGGATAAACATGTTTAAAAGAGCTAATTCTAAAGCTAATAAAAGAGCTAGTTTTAAACATATTGCACCTTCAGTCTTCATTTTTGGATTTTAACGTTAAAAATGGACTTTAGAGTCCTGGCCACTGTGGCTCAGTTGGTTGGAGCATTGTACTGTAAAGCGAAAGGTCATGGTTCATTTCCTGGTCAGGACATGTGCCTGGGTTGCAGGTTCGGTTCCTAATTGGGGCACATACAAGAGGCAGCAGATTGATGTTTCTCTCCCTTCCTTCCCCTCTCTAAAATCATGAGCATGTTCTTGGGTAAGGATTTTAAAAAATGGACTTTAGAATTAAAAAATGAGTGGTTTTTCCATTTGTGTAGATTTATTTGATTTTCCTTCTCATCATAGCCCATCAATTTGAGTATGTGCAATATTACACTTCATATCTTCCACCTGAGTGAAGATGGCCCCACCAGTGAAAATTTGGAAGAAGAGACAGAAAATATAATTGCAGCAAATCATTGGGTTCTACCTGCAGGTATGTGTGACAGCAGCAGTAGGTGGAGCATGCTAAGTCCACGAGGTCAGAGGGTGACACACACCTCAGACTTGCCAAGTCAGTTAGCCAAAGAGATTTTGTTTGTTTTGTAGGCCTTCAGGGCATCTTATTTCTTATAAAATGGTAAGTACATTACAAAAGAGTAAGGTAGAGGATTCCTTTGGACTGGTTCTTCGTAGGTGGTATTCGTTGAGAATGTAAACTGTACTCTTCTTTCCTGCCCAGTTGGTCAGTTCTGCTGGCCTCCTTCCTCCTACTGTCTTGATGTTTATTTGTGGACCTGCCATTGTGTTCTTGCGAGCAGGGTTAACTCTATCATCAAGTTTTATGTCTGATGTCCTAATGGCTAGATTAGACCCGCTGGTCTGCCTTGCCCAAGTGTTGGCTTATAGCAGGGGTGTCAGACTCATTTTCACCGGGGGCCTCATCAGCCTCGTGGTTGCCTTCAAAAGGCCAAATGTAATTTTAACACTATATATATAAATGTAACTACTCTTTAACAGTTAAGCTAGAGCTTGGCTCTGCCACCGGATCGAAACAGTGCCGGGCCAGATAAAGCAAGATGGAGAGCCGGATTCGGCCCACAGGCCTTGTGTTTGCCACCTGTGGCTTATAGGGAGAGGGGTGGATTCAGTCTGTGCTGTGTAAAGTATGGGTCCACAAAAGATGACTGTGCATAATAACATGACAAAAAAATAACTCTTAACCAGTTATTGTTTGTCAGAAGTCCTGTGTAACTGGCATTTATTTTGCATATTTAATTTCAAAAAAATTTTTTTAAATGTAACTTCCCTATGATCATACACTTAGCATACCACATGTGGAACAGGAGAGAGCACTGGTGGCCCAGGGCAGATCTGGCTGGTAGGTGTAATGCTTGCTTTTCTAAAGTAAGTTTTTGTTTTATTCTGTCACAGCTGAGTTCCATGGGCTGTGGGACAGCCTGGTGTATGATGTGGAAATCAAATCTCACGTAAGTTGCACAAAAGTTCCTGTTATTTGTAGTGGAATCATTATTGTGTTGCTCTCCAGCACCTCTGAGCTCTTTGACTCAAATGGGCTTTTGGGAGCCACTGTCTACCAGCAGCCAGTATTCCAGATGTCTGTCCTCTGGGATTGCTCCTAGGTAGACTTGGTCTCTGGGGCATCCCCTGAGGGGGAAGAGGGAGGGTGCTGAATGTGAAGACAGCTTCGATGGAATTTCACTCTTAGCAACCCATAGGGGCTGAGTGGACTCTGCCACAGGGCACATAGAGCAAGTGGACAGGATCGAGCAAGTACCAGCGTGTCTGAACCCCCTTCAGGGGGAAGGGTCCTTCTGCATGGTGTGGGGGGCACTAGAAGTCTGTATCCTGTCCCTCCACACTGCTCTAGGCAGCCACATTGAGACAAGAGAGTCTTGGCTATTGTTATTTTTTAGTAAGTGTGCTGTGTGCTTGCCTACTACTCCTATTTGATAAGTCCCTTAATTCTTTTTTTTAAAGATTTATTTATTTATTTTTAGAGAGAGGGAAAGGGAGGGAGAAAGAGAGGGAGAGAAACATCAATTGGTTGCTTCTTGCATGTGCCAGTTGGGGACCTGGCCCACAACCCAGGCATGTGCCCTGACTGGGAATCGAACCAGTGACCTCTCGGTTCTCGGGACAATGCTCAACACATTGAGACACACCAGTCAGGGTGAGTCCCATAGTTATTTTGTGTGATCTCAGCATTCTAAATAAAAGTGTCTTTGTGTTTATCCTTTTTGCTTATAATAGTAATAGCCAGCACTTATCCTCTTCTGTTTTAAGTTACCTTCTAAAATGAAAGTTTGTGCTATATCCAGGAAGTGTTTGGTGGAGGCAGTCGCTGGAAGGCTGTCTTTCTTCTGTCCCGGCTGTTCATGTAGGAGCATACATAGTGGGAGCCTTTGCCTGTTGGCTTCTTTATCTGTATTTTTCCTTTCTCCACTCAGCTGCTGGATTATGTGATGACAGCG